GAAAAAGAAAATCACTACTTGGAAAAGGTAAGTATTGGCATTAATACATTCTTCATGATTTCTATCCCCAAGTCACACTATTTGAGATATCAATCTTGTTAGCAGCTCAAAAGGTGACGTACCAAAGGGTTTGTTCAACTCTGCCTATGAGCAACGGTAATAACAACAAGCACTACTAAAAGAAGTATGACAATGTATTTCCTCACAAATGCCTCTGTAGAGTCACATTTCTCCTTGTAAGCTTCAAAAATGAGTAGTAACCTTTCTCCATCAGACACCCAGAGGGCCCGTCTATAACCATGAGCAATGTTGCTAAATGGTTAAAAAAAAAAAAAAAGTTTCATCAATTTCATTCCAAGGATCCGGCCTCTTCCCCAAGGGTGTGAGCTGATGTAATTTCAGCACTCATTTATCTTAAATGAGGAAGTTTTCAGGTCTGGCTTCTTGAGAACAGTTTAGCGTGCCTGATCAGGTTTCCTTATTATTGTAATTATGATGCGCTGTGGCAGAAGGCTCATGTAGAACTCGTCTCTATTTCCCCTCCCATGACTTTCTCAGGGCGTCTGACAAAGCATGAAACATAACCTACAGCACTGGATCTAGCAGATTCAACACTTGTGCCGTGCAGGCCATAGAAGTACAATACTGCTACGTTACAGAACGCACACTCTGCTGATCCTGTATTGGCTATAAATCTGTTATAGCTGGTGTATACAGATTCACACAGAGCGCATTCATGTGTGTGTGTGGCTGCATATTTCTCAGGGAGAGCAGCAAAGGCCTTCCTTCCATGTTGTTGTTTGGTCACTAGGTGTGAGCTCAACTCCTTGGCAACTGACACCGTTGTTTGGATCCAAGATCTGGTTATTTTGTCGTGATGGTCCAGGGAGAAAGAGCAAGCTATGCAAATGTCAGCCAAATTCCACACTCGCCTCCAACTCGCAAAGTTCCCGTTGCACTCATTGTGAGACAGACACACTGCTGACAAAAAGAGCTGGGTGGAGGTCTGGAGACTCCAGAGGAAACACACACACACACTGACTCACACATAAGCTCAGGCTTTGATGAAAGAGGGTAAGTGTGTGATGCTCTTCGATCTGTGATGCTCTTTTTCATGACATGGGGACTGGGTTTGAGTGATCTAAATAAACACCTTTTCAGTCATTATATCGGACTCAAATCAATAACTCATTTGTCGAAAGAACAGCAGTAAATAATTAAGAAAATGATTTTTTTTTGCTGTGAAAAACTTTCAGCGTGAACGCTTTAATGTTCAGATACATACTGGCCCTGTGGTGTTTCTGGAGGAAAAATAAGCTGGAAAAAACAGGCAGCTTCAGGAAAGAATGCAGCTTGATGGTGGACGGTCTGCCTACACCAGAAATATGCTGCAGTTTCCTCTCATCTCTCAACAAACCAGGGAGAGGCTTCCTCCTTTTCTCTCTCTCTCCAGACTATCTTTTTCATGTATAACTTTCACATTATACTTCTCTTATTTTGTAGTTAAAGTCAGTTCTTTTGTAAAATGCTAAATTAACGTCTGTGTTTGGACCGGTGGAAAAACAACATTCAAATCCCAGAGTAATAGATGTTAATAGCTGCTGACAAATAAAGGCAAGAGTGTGCATGTGAGAACACATCTGTGTGGCCTACGCACTCACCACATCAGAGGTAAAAGAATGATGGTTTGTTTTGAGAGGTGTTTATTTTGCATTTATCCATTAATAAAATTTGTATTTATTTTGGTGCAATTACAGCATTATTCTACTGGCAAACTATGACTCAAGCTTAACACAGGCTGATTGATAGTAATATTTGTTTATTTGACTAGCACTGTGTTACGTTTATCTTGCCTTAAAGGGAAAATGTACATTCTTCCCCCCAAAATGTACATTCTGTCATCATTTACTCACCCTCATGTTGTTTCAAGCCTGCATGTCTTTATTTATTCTCTAGAACATAAAAGAAGATAATTTGAAGAACTGTTTTTGTCTATACAATGAAAGTTCACTTTGGCCAAAAACATCAGACCCCTAACGACTTTCACTGAGGCATTAAAAAAACCTTCTTTTTGTGTTTCAGAAACAAGAAAGTCACACAGGTTTAGAATGACATGAGGGTGAGTAAATATGACAGAGCAGTTAAGCATTTTCTTTAGCAATAAGTGTTGCACTACAGGCCCACAATAGTCAGACACTAATGCATATTGCATAGTTTGTTTTTGACACAAAATAAAAAAAGTAAATTTAGTAAACTAAAAATATAGTGAAAATGTATTATAATTTAAAGGAATTGTTTTGTATTTGAATCGATTTTAAAATGTAATTTATTCCTGTGAAGGCAAAGCTAAATTTTCAGCATCATTACTCCAGTCTTCAGTGTGACCTGATCCTTCAGAAATCATTCTAATATGCTGATTTGCTGCTCAAAAAGCATTTCTTATTATCATCAATGTTAAAAACAGTTGTGCTGATTAACATTTTGTGGAAACAGCGATATATGTTTTTTTCAAGATTCCTTGATGAACAGAAAGCTCAAAAGAACAGCTTTTATTTGAAACATTAATCTTTAAAGGGGTCCTATTATGCTCTTTTACAAAGTCTTGATTTTGTTTTGGGGGTGTACTAGAACATGCTCTCATGCTTGGTGGTTTGAAAAAAGCATTATTTTTCACATAATGTACATTATTAAAATACCTTTCTCCCCAGGCTGGCACAAACAGCTCGATTAGTTCCGGCTTTGATGAAGGTTCGCCTTCCGAAAAACAAAATGTGTTGTGATTGGTTAGCTGTCACAGTGCGTTGTGATTGGCGAACAGCTTAGACGGTGTTTCAGTACTGCCACGCCCCTTGCTCTGTCTTTCAACAAAAACTTTTTGGTGAATCCGGCAAGCACTGTACTCCCTCATGTTGTGGAAGCTGTCCTCAGTAAAATGCGCAGCACACAATAGCAAATTGGGGTTATAATGCTCAGGAACAGAGTAAAAAAATAAATTGCAACCACTGTTTCCTGACATCATCAACACAGTTAACTGATAAAAATGTAACCAGAGGATGCATCTCACTCTCGAGTGCCTGCAAGATAAAAGAGTTCTAGTGCTTTCCGACCCCTTCTAATCACAATCTACAAAATGCTGTGGAAGACGTCTTGCGTTGTTGTTCCGTATATTCACATTTGATCTTTGATCAATTGACGTCATCATTTCTCACCCGTCTTTCTCACAAGCCAGTGAGCAGAGGGCCTTGATTTAGTACTGCTGATGTAAAAGTGTTTCCCTTTTTTACAGAACTCAGAGAGCGAAAACAAGGAAACACCTGACTGCACTACAGAAACACCAGAGAGAAGGTAACGGTTTTGTCAGTTTCTTAAACATTTTAACGGAACTAATACACAATCTGATGTGACCGTTTTCTCAATTTAGACACCGTTTAGAAGCACAGAAAATTACCTTTTAATCTTAATTTGCTCAAAAAGAGTTTATAAAGTTCATTAATTGAGTGTTAATGTCAGTACTGTGATTTATGCATTATGGCCTTGTTTGACTTTTCTCATGCTTTAATGAAAATGACTAATAATTTTAAAGGGGTCCTATTATGCTCTTTTACAAAGTCTTGATTTTGTTTTGGGGGTGTACTAGAACATGCTCTCATGCTTGGTGGTTTGAAAAAAGCATTATTTTTCACATAATGTACATTATTAAAATACCTTTCTCCCCAGGCTGGCACAAACAGCTCGATTAGTTCCGGCTTTGATGAAGGTTCGCCTTCCGAAAAACAAAATGTGTTGTGATTGGTTAGCTGTCACAGTGCGTTGTGATTGGCGAACAGCTTAGACGGTGTTTCAGTACTGCCACGCCCCTTGCTCTGTCTTTCAACAAAAACTTTTTGGTGAATCCGGCAAGCACTGTACTCCCTCGTGTTGTGGAAGCTGTCCTCAGTAAAATGCGCAGCACACAATAGCAAATTGGGGTTATAATGCTCAGGAACAGAGTAAAAAAATAAATTGCAACCACTGTTTCCTGACATCATCCGCTTTCGGAATTTTGGAAAAAAACAGCGTTTCAATTCAGGCGGTTGCACACCAGACGAGAAGCGCAGCGTCGCGTCGCGCCACATCTTTAAAATTCAAATACATTATTATGAGTGTAGGCACACCAGCGGAGTCATTCGGCGTCTGTCCATGGCACCCAGCTCCGTCATGTTGTACTGGAGAATTGTTCTAGACATGCCGAAAATTTGTCGAAAACTCTGCAGCAGCACTTCATCTTCGTCGTCTCGTCTGATGCACTAACTCAACCAAGCGTTCTAACCACAACCTCGCCCCTCCCCACCCTCCAACCATTCGAATTTCTGTAGGCGGGAATTCTTTTTAATGATATTCTAATGAGCCACTTTGTGATATCATAAAGCCCGGGAAACAAACGCTGTAGTCCAAACGAGCCGTTCGTTGTAGTTCTTGAAAAGGGATTTTTTTAAAACGAAATATCTCCCTTTGGAGTGGACTTTGAGATTTGTAACTTTCTAGATCTTTTTTATGCCCAAACATACACACTACACACTGAATAAAATAAAAAAAGTGAAAAAGCATAATACGACCCCTTTAATAAAATAAAATTATAAAATTATAAATGTCTTCACGGTCACTTTTGATCAATTTAATGCATACTTGCTTAATAAAAGTAACTTTAAAAGAAAAGAAAAAAACCTTTACTGCCTGACTAACTAAAAACTATTATGACCCCAAACCTTTGAACGGTAGTGCATAATTAAGATGGTCTTTCCTGCACACAAAATGTAGTGGTTTCATGGGTTTGTGTTTGCACAAAGCAAGTGTTTCTCAGGTGATTCATGCTGGTAGTTTATTAGTTTATGCATTTGATGTCAGAGAGGTTGGAGTGGAAAGTTTTCTGAGAGAACTGAATGGCTGTGGAGGTGTTGGACAATGTACAACTTGTTGCTAAACTGGGTAATAACATCTTGTGTACAAGCAGTTCCACTCACCTGGGTGGATTTGTCCCTCATGCAAGGGGCACAAGGGGCGTGGCTGGCATCCCGGGGCCAGTGTCCAGACAGGTAAGGGGCCGTGAGCGCGTCCAAAGAGGAGGTGCGACGAATGCTACCGTTATTGCTGGTGGTATACCAAGACCCTGCCACAGGAAGTCTATGCTTGTCTGCAAGACAGCCAGAAAGCACAGAGGAGATAAAGAGGGGAAAGGAAGGATGGGGAGGAGAGACAGGGGTCGAATGAAAGTATATGAATGAGACGTGTGGGGGAGAATAAAACAGATGGGAGGGAAACAGAAGAAGAACATACGTTAGAGG